TCTCCCCAAGCGAGCTCGATGGGCCGAATGGCTTCCTCTCGTTTGTATAGTTCTTATGTTTTTATGATGCACAGAAACTTTCACACAAAATACAAGTGCTCAAAAACAAACTTATTGATTGAATCAACACATCTTTATCTCTCTTTCATTTTTTTTCCGAGATCTGTGACAGTTAAATTGTCTGTGGTTTAGGGGCCAGTTTTAATGTTACCATTGTTGATGGCCATTTGGAGTTCGGCAACTTTTTGGAGCATGCTGCCTATCTTAAGCAGACTGTTGTTTTATTGTTTTTAGGAACTGTGAAGTTAAAATTGTTTGCAGTTGTTTACAAAAAAAATGGAGGCCAGTTTGAATGTTTCCTTTACCAAAGCTTCTAAACATTTTAAATATATAAAAAATTGAATGTCGCAGCATTTTATGGTGTGCTCCCTGACTTGAACAAAATTTCCTTTTGTATTATTTTACTAATTAAAATTATTCATTACAATATTTGAAGGCAGTTGCACATTGTATGACATTGGGAAGAATGTTTGCAATTGACTAGAATTTATTTTTTTTTTAAACAAACTGTGACATTTCAGCTGTTTGTGGTTGTTTACAAAAATAGAGGCCAGTGTTAATGTTACCTTAATTGTTGGCATAAAAGATCTGAAATATCAGAAAGGGAGTTGTGCAGCATTTGGAGGCATCCTGTTTAATTTCAACATTCAATCCAAGTAAGATTTTTATAATTTCTTGAAGACAGTTGCACTTTAAAAGAACTTGTGAAGAATGTTTACTATTGAAATGATTATGTTGTAGTCCAAGGACCTGGTTGTCTATTGCAAGACCTTGCAAAAATAAAATAAATGTGTTTTGTTTCTGGAAATATGCTTGTGATTATTTAACTATTAGCTCTACAAGTGGAAACCTTGAAGTAAATAAAATCTATAAAACGTGTGTTCACCTTACATATTGAAAGTTTGTAAATGTAACAAAATTATTAAGTAAATGTACATATAATTAATGTGTAATAGTGACAAATCTGAATTGCTTGGATTTACTTTAAAAAGTTTTGTCAACTTTACCTGAATTTCTGTTGTTCATACAACTAAATTGTTAATTGTAGAAACTACTCAACCTACTTGTGTGGAACCACTTGACACTACTTTTTTATGTAAATCCAACAAATCATTTTTTTGAGTGTATATGTTTATATGATGCCACATTGCATTTATTTATTAGCAGATGACTCTGTCCTAAACAACGTGCAAGGGAGCACGTCAAGGAGCCACCAGTACTGCAAGCCTGAGCAAAAATGAAACTACACAATGTAGAACCTAATATCAGCAAACCTGCATAAATAAACACCAAAAGAGAGTCTAGCAGCAAAATAAATTTCCAGGCACACAAACCCAGGCATGGATCTCTCTAGTATCATTTTGAAGAAGATCATGCAAATTGCAACAGTAATATTATCTGGGTGGTTTGATTTATTTAAAATACTTAAATAATATACTTACAGAACACAGAATGAAATGGATATCTGTCCCCCAGCATCATCTTGGCTTTTTAAGAATAGTTTTTTTTTAAAAAACATTGATGTTTTCAACTTCATTATTTTGATATAGACAGTTATGACTGCTTGATGCAGTGTATATCTGCTTCTGATTCATTCATTTTTCTCTAAAGCAAACTGGCTCTCATTTGGCCTTTGAAGCCTGAGTAAATAAGGGGAAAATGGCAGAAGGTTATGGAAATTCATCATCATAACCTCCTGAGCGCACTTGCTATGCACAACGTTGCTGTCAGCTTTCAGGTTTCTGGCACTGCCACTTCTTTTTTTCCCCCTCAAATCAGATATTTAGTCTTTTTTTTGCTTGAATGTTTGGTAGATTTAGCAGTGAACCTATATTCTCTGCTCATTCCAGTTCAATCTGGCTAAAATACTGTGGTTTCTAAGATTACAGTCAATCGCATGCAAGGCATGATGGAACAGCGAGGTTCTCCATGGCCTTTAAGTTTAATTAAAATACTTACTGAACCACAGCATTATCAGCTTACATAAGGCACATCTTGCCATCTTGGTCATAAACATTTCAAAACGGCAAATTCAACGCAGAACAACAGTCACCAAAAGTCAGAAATGTTTCATGCTAAACTACACAGAGGATCCTTTGGTCTGTCAAATATGGAGGATAACTGGAAAGAGTCATTTTCTCCTGATTGGAAAGATGCCCATATTGACTCACTTTCTCAGGAGAGATGGACAAGCACTAACACCTTTTAATCAAAAAGGCTAGCCGGTTTTATTGACTGAGTCTGAAGAACACTACTTGCTCACATTTACCTAAAGGCCCAGAGGCCAGTCACCAGTAGGCATCCCTGCAGATTTCTAACAGGAAGTCAGATGTCTAGCCTACCTTTTAAAACACAGCCTGGGTGATCTCTCTAATTCAGGCAGCAGATCCCAGTGCAGGACATACACCACTGGGGAGATTCCTGACTCATGTCTTAATTAAATGAGAATGCTACACACAGAAATAGTAACATATACTTCAATCTCAACTGGGGTCTTCATTACAAATTGAATATTTCATACATATATATTTCATATTTTACTTTTAAAAGTAGTTTTACTGAAATCAATTCCCAAAGCCAGACTATGCCCTGTGCTAACAGCTATCAGCTCTCTCCTTCATCTTCATTGGTTGATCAGAAATTCTAGTTACCTCAAATATTCCTGATGTTCTCAGATTAAAGAGTGACTCTTGTTGCAACTATCCCAAAAGTATAAAGCATACAACACACCTGTGCAACTAAGAGGTCAGCAAAGGATCCCCAGTTCGGTCATGAGGAGATAGGATGCAAAATAGTAGAACTACTCTTAATTTATTTATATTACCATTTAAAAGTGCCATTCACACCATTTAACTACCAGTATAAGACTGAAGTCGAAGATGGCAAAATCTTGAGATAGAAAAGTAGGCTTTACAATTTCAGTATTAGATAAATCAATGAGTGCTCCGGCAACAACCCAATCTAGCGTAGCTGGCAAAGACACTGCCATGGCTGGTTAACACTGTGGACTGTTAACACTGAAGCTACTTCAGGCAAAAACAGTGTATCCATGACCCAACTTACTGCTAAGCTGACTAAATGATGAGCTTCACTCAAAGAAGACACAGCCATACTAACCCAGGAATTGATTGGCCCACTCCAGGTCTCTGTCAATTCAGTAACATAAACTGTTACAAGTTTCCAGGTATGATTAAGTGCAACCGAATCTTTGGCTGGTGACAGCTTCAGCACGCTAGCCACGGCAGGAGAAAAGAAAAGGAGAAAGCAAAGGCACTGCGATGGGACCTAACACATGAGGTGGATAGAAGAGATGCAAACTGAGGAGGTACCACTTTATAATAAGACTACCCTTATAAAAAGTTTATGCATGGTTTATAATCAGGTTACTCCCTGGGGGTCTTGGGCAGGGACAATGTAAAACACTATCAGAAAATGCATTATACAATGCACTATACAAAAACAAAATGAAGTGAGTTGAGGTTATTAACTAGGTAGTAACACATTAGAAATAATTAATAGACAACATAAACAAGTAAAGTAATTTTTTATTAATGAGTTACTACCATTTACAAGCACAGAATTGTCCAAAATGTTTTGATATGCATACCATGGGGAAGCCACTATACTGTTCCAACATGACTGTACTCTGTGCACATAAAGACATGGTTGGGTGAGGTTAATGTGAAAGAACTTGACAGGCCTGCACAGAGGTCTGACCTCAATCCCATCAAATACCTTCGGAGGCAACTAGAATGGAGATTGCGAGACAGGCCTTCACAACCAACATCAGTGCCGGACCTCACAAATGCTCTTCTAGATGAATGGACAAAATATCCCACATACACATTCTAAAATCTTGTAGAAAGCCTTCCAAGAAGTGTGGCAGCTGTTATGGCTACAAAGGTGGGACCAACTCCATATTGATGCCTATGGCAGGGATGTCATAAAAGTTTCTGTGACTGTAATGGCCAGATATGCCAATACTTTTGTCCATATAGTTTATGCAATTGTCACTTTTTACGCTGCTTGCTTGCAAAATTAAGTCAAAAAAAGAAGTCGAAAAAGGTTTCCAAAGTTAAATTCCCTGTAAACTTTAAGCTCTCATTGCCATGACAACACAACTTCATAGTGGCAAGTTTTTTGAGTGCTATGTACGCAGAAGCAAACACCTGACTCATAAGAAGAAGCGTAAAGAACTGTGTATGAAGACTAATAATCAAGAAGTAAGTCCTGCCTTTCATATTTATGTTGCATACAATGAGCTCTAACAGACCATTTGATAGGATGTATTTGCTCAGTGGTTATGGGTCTCTGATTCCAGAGAAGAGACTCACAAAAAGACTGTGGACTATCTATTAAAGACAAGTACAAATATGGGTGCCGAATTTCTGCTAAGTTTGCAGTTTGTGGAAAAAAATGACTCTCCTATCAGGAATCTGGAGTGGTGCTGATTTCAGTGACTTTGACAGCAATTATTTTTACAGGCAATAATTCAGCGGTTTCTGCCCAGCATGGTGATGAAGAAGTAGCACATTATGTGCCAAAGTGAAATTTGTTTGGCTGAAGCTTCACAAATTTTCATGCAAAATTTACTCTTTCACACGGTGATGTGGAACATAGCTTTTCAAGCTATTACTTAGTTTCGAGAGACCCCTACAGTCTGAAAAAATTTGAAAACGGAATCAATTTAAGCCAATTTGAAATGCTTGGATGCATACATTCGGTTGAAGAAAATTCTCACAAGTGTGTATACATTTTAACAGTTTTGCTGGCCAGTGAATGAAATCGGATGGAAATTACAAAGAAACACAAGCCTAACTTTCGGACAAACAGACAAACAAACAAATAAATAAATACTTCATAGTAGAAAATGAACAAAGCATGAGGTGCACACATACCTTGCCTTTTGCATGGGGAATTCCCAGGGGGCAATGTTGTACTGCTCCTAGCAGGGCAGCAATAGCAGCACTGTACCCAGCTACAGCCTCTGGGCAGGACTTGAGGGCAGTGAGGCGTTCTAGGCAGCGGTCCATGAGCATGGCCGCTTGGGCTGGCACAGCCACGGAAACGCAGCGCAGGCACCAGGCAGCTGTCAGCCGCACCACAGCACTGGGGTCCAGCAGCACTGACGTCACCGCGTCCAGCAGCCCTGCACGAGGACGCACAGGCCAGAAACAGGCATGTTTATCCCAAACAGTAGCTTATCGCCAGCCACTCCAAAGTGGTGGGATCAAGTAGCACCAAGCTGCAGAAGCCCTGCACAGAGACACACAAGCCAGAAACAGGCATGTTTATTGCCTGGGAAACTCCGGCTCTGTCGGCTACACCCCGCCATTTTACTCCTTGACTTGTCTCCTTAAACACACAATATCTGTTACGTCTTACAGCTCTTAGATGAAATGTAATGATTAGCACATGGACCTCAGGGCTGCTAGATTCATACACACACATTTTATTAAAAAACTGCCTGTTTTTTGCTGTAGTACCACTGAGCAAAGTGAACTTTTGCAGTGAAAAAGTGAAGAACCATCACTTAGGAAAGAATACTCTCAAAGTCTCTTTCCCATAAAACATTTCAACCTCAGTATTTAAAAGAATACCTTCCATATAAAAAAAAAATTGAAAAATGCACCATTTTACTTTCTCCGGAACAATTAAACAAATGTATCATTTTATATTTTTTTCTGGCATTTTATATTTTTAGAGAAAGTACTGTAAGACAAGAGTTAATTTCTGTAATGATGTTTCTTCAGATTCAGACAGTCACATCAAACATAATATAACAAATGTTACTTTAATAAGACAAGCTTTATTTTTACCTTTTTAACCACAATATGATCAGTTGACTATATTTAATGTTGTGTACAGAAGGACATCATTCAAAAAGGAACAAACTGTGTTATACCTTTTTACAAGATGTGCCAGAAGTACTGGCACTGAAATCTCCATCTGACTTGCTCTTCACTGCAACTAACCAACAATAAACCAGCATCTGTTCTTCTAAACAAGCCTCAGTGTCAACACATAGCTTTCACACCTCTATCAATCTCTGCCTTTACTTGCCATTTCCTTGTCTCATGATGTTCTATGTAGAACAAATGAGTCAAATGAGCTCTGAAAGTTAAAGAGGGGGCTGCTAAAATGACATCACTGTATTCCCCAGACAGCCCTGTCACTTTTTCCACCCGTCTAATCGATACTCCTCCTAAATACCCCCAATGGCTGCAATTTCTAGAAGTACTGGATGGATCACCTGGAAATGTAACAGCCAATAAATAGTCCACAACAACAAAATTTGCAAAAAAATTTTTGAGTTATCACACTAATGGGATCATCATATGCCTGGAATATGCCCTGTTTTTCTGCTACCACTATGAGGCACTACTTCAGTTTTGGGATTATCTGTGTCAAAATCTGATCACTTCCAGTTCATCACTGTGTCAGCAAAATTTGCAAAAATATTCATAAAATACTTTTAGAGTTACTGTGTTCACAAGACAAGCAGTTTCCTTCTTTTGCCCCCATAGAGCACTGCTGCTTCATTTTTGGGGCAATTTGTCTGAAAATGAAACCAGGTGTAGACTTAACCCATAAAATGTTTTTGTGTAGTAGTAATAATATCCATCAAGTACTTTTTGACTGATCACATTCACAAGGTCAAATGGCTTCTGCTTTCACAATAAGCAGTGTTGCTTCAATTTTGGAGCAATCTGTCTCAAAATATAAGCCTTTCCAGTTTGTCACCCATACAATGCCACTGCAAAATTTTAAAAAGATGAGTCAAATAACTTTTAAGTAAGGATCTTAGCAGGATCAAGTGTCAAAACTCCCTGTATTTTTGCTATCAGGTTCCTGCCCGGGGAATATAAATGGTGCTTCTAACATCCATTACTCCCGCATCCCAAACAATACTGACATATCTCCAGGAGAATAGTACCATATGCTCTTTATACTTTCTTTAATACAAGTATCTAATGCATATGTGATGGGTTGGAGACCAACACAATTGAGGTAAACTTGAACAATGATAAGAATGATGGCACCGCTTAACACCCACTTGTTCAGTAGGCTCACCTGCACTGGGGTCCTGAAGCAGAGACTCAGCAGTAGAGCCCAGGCCCAGGATCAAGCCGCCCAGTTCCTGCAGGGTACAGACCAGAATGTGCTGGCTCACCACCACATCTGTAGCACTCAACCGGGTCTCCATGTTGCTGTCACTCAAGGTCGCATCTGACAGGGAAATGACGACAAAAGGCACCACATTCAGAGACATGTTTCCTTACTGTGCGCAGCTCAGTAGATTATGACATGTGCCATTGATCAGAAGGCTGTCGGATTGAATCTCAACGCTGGTAGACTTTGCCATTGTTAGGCCCTTGAGTAAGGCCTTTAACCCCAATATGTGTCTGTGTGTCTCATGAAGAGCATGATGAGATACATAAAAAGACAATTTCCTCCAGGGAATGAATAAAGTATTACTATAATAATAAAGCATTGTTAAGAGACTTAATGTGCACACACCCTGCCACTGGGCAGAATGAAACCAGCCATGAGATGAACTTTAATTTCTCACCAATATCTGTAAAGATACTATTGTGCAGAAACAGATAAGTATCACTGTTCATTGTTTAAGGATAATCTAGATACATCTGGTCACATGCAGAAGTATACAGGAGTTTGGTCAGCGTACTGTATGTATATATGTATATGTACATCTGTATGTGTGTACAGGTATGTATGGAAGCAAACACAGACCTACGGCCATCTTCTGCTTGGCTATGACCCGACAAATCTCCTTGGCAGCCAGGACTTGGGACCTCTCCCCCAACAGTCTCCCTACAGTGGCCCGCAGGATGAAGGATATGCAGCAGCGGCAGCAAGCGGCCTCGGCCGGGTTCTGAGTGACCCGCGGGTATGACACCAGCTCCAGAACCAGAGCCAGCAGAGTCATAAAGTTACACTCCAACCACTTGCTACCAAGGCAGGAAATGAACACCACGCAGGCCTAGAATGGAAGGGGATACTGTTACACACTGTCACATGACAACACAACATAGAGTATTATTATTATTATTATTATTATTAATTGAAAAGGCGCTGTCAGAATGACAACAGTGTATTCCACGGACATCCCCTCATTTAATCCTTACTCCTCGCCCACTCCCCAACCTCTACAATTTCCGTGACACACATCTGTGTGAAATATTCTGCACAAATAACCGTATGTTGTCTTTGCTATTTTAGTAGTAAACTTTCAAAGTAGACAGTGACTAAAGAAAATATAATAATAATAAATAATAATAATACATTTTATTTTCAGCGCCTTTCAAAACACCCAAGGTCACTTAACACAACAAATCACAAATACATAAATAAAAAAACATAGTAAAATATAAATACACAAAATTACCCATAAAATGCACAAAAATATAAAATAAAGATTAAATTGTATATGCCACCTTAAACAAGTGAGTTTTTAAACGTGATTTAAACATGCTAATGGAATTAATCCTGCAAATGTCCGGTGGAAGCGTGTTCCACAGATAGGTTGCAGAATAACTAAAAGCTCTACCACCCATTGTAGTCAGACGAGTATGTGGAACTGTAAGATGGAGAGATGACGATTGATTTGAATAAGATCCGACAAATAAGATGGATAGCCTTAAATGTCAGGAGCAGAATTTTAAACTGAATGTGATATGTAATGGGAAGCCAGTGAAGTTCCTGTAGAACAGGAGTAATATGAGTTGTAGAAGGAGTTCTAGTAATGATCCTGGCAGCTGAATTCTGGACCAATTGAAGTTTGTGTAGGGATTTTAAAGGCAAACCAAATAGAAGAGAATTACAATAATCAGTGCGTGTTGTGACCAGTGTGTGAACAAGTATGGCAGTTGAATTTGGTGAAAGAGACGGACGTAGACTATTTATATTACGGAGGTGAAAATAAGCAGAACGAGTAACATTATTTATATGAGCTGTGTAAGACAACGTGCCATCCAAGATGACAAATATATCTTCCTGTTCAAATTATTTTAACGGATTTTTTTTCCAATTACAGTCATTGCATTTCATGTTTCACCTTTCGCTTTTATTTTACACAGTGCTTGAAGTGGGGAAAAATAAGTGCAGGAACTCTAATTTTCCGACATTTGACATTTGTGCGGTGAAAAAAAAATCGAGTCTTTAGGATGTGTTGGTTCAAAAACTATTTTAATTTAATCATTCTTCCAAGCAATAACCTATAGGCATAGGCTACTTTTTTCTAATTCACAAATGGAATACTGAAAAACCATTAAAACAACATGTAGTCTTTTATCGGTCTTGTGATATTGTCTATTCTCGGGCCACTGTTGCTGCGTCGGATCAGTTTCAGTAAGTACCGGAACACAAAAAAAAGTGGCGGAACCCAAAATACGACAATACAGAAGTTCCGGAACTGCGTTCCGGCCCACTTCAAGCACTGATTTTACAGTAAAATACCGTTATAACTAAGGGTGTAACGGTTCACAAAAATCACGGTTCGGTTCGATATGACACAGTGGTGTCACGGTTCGGTATGTTTTCGATGCAGCAAAAATACAAAAAAATGACTGACTAGAGTAGTGTTTGGGGGTGGAAGGGGCAGTCAACACGTTGCCTGTCACGTCGTTTGGGCTGCCTTGTTGAGCGTAGTAGCACTGAAAACATTATATTTTACACACTTTATTCTCTTTTATTTTTTTTCAAATATAACCCTCTGGAGTCTAGGGGTAGGGAACACACTTTCACTGACTGGGGCATGATCACACATTTCATTCAATATCATAAACTTAATTCATGGNCCCTCTGGAGTCTAGGGGTAGGGAACACACTTTCACTGACTGGGGCATGATCACACATTTCATTCAATATCATAAACTTAATTCATGGCAAATAAATTATTTCTTATATATTTGTTTTGGCATTAAACTCATCTTAATCTTAGTGTACTTTGTAAATATGTCAGAGTTATGTTAAGTTTGTAATTTGACATCAAAGTATAGACATTGCAAAATGCAGCTTGGAATAATTGCCTACACATAATAAAAGTACATAGTAAGCAATGCTGGCAGTTTGTTTTGATCCAAGATATCTGATCAAGTCTTGGCTACATGAAGATGACTAAAATGGTATAGTTGCAACATTCAGTTGGATTTATAAATAAGAAAAACCGAACTCATGTCACTATTTCTCGCTCCTTTCATTGAATATGTAGCAACTTTCATGTGTATGAATGAGCCATTTTCACCTGCCCACGTCCCTCCCCCCCTTTTATGGCTCTGACTGGAATGTTTCTGGATCGCGTTTCACCGTTGCGCTGTTAATAAAATTACCATGCAAATGCGATTTGAATACGCCCTAATGCAGCTATTTAGAATGTGAATAGCGATCTTCGGGTGAGAGCGGTACTACACGCCCCCGATGCAGGTAAAACAAAGTAAGGTGACATGGTTTACTTTCTTGCCGATTTAGCCTAATTTTAAAAACTTTAATACTTCCGACAATGGATGTTTTGAAAAGAAGACCGATTACGGATTTAGTCAGCATTTTTTTCATGTTTCTATAATAAGATTTCAGCGAGTTATGAACTGAAATAGACAAGAAAGATACTCGGCATCGCTGACACAGCCGTCGACTCCAGAGGGATAAAAGTATTTATCTGAATCATTCGGTTTGTAATGCGTACTGAACCGAAAGCCTCGTACTGAACGGTTCAATACGAATACGCGTATCGTTACACCTCTAGTTATAACTTTGCCAGGTCCTTCAAGGGACCTGGCAAAACAGCCCGTTACATCCAGAGTTGCTGTATGTCCAGAACACAACTACAGGACACCATTTACTCATGCCACACCTCAGCAGACACACTTGTGGTATAGATTATTATTTTGTACATGTAGTAATCCAACTTTACCTGACCAGATGCTACTAATAATCCAGACTATGCACGTAGCCTATCTGCGCTGGATATCACCGGCATGCCACACGCCTTGTAGGCGGAACTGCATGTCTGTTATAGCTGAACAGAACTACAGATAAAAGCTGCCCTGGGGACCAAATTGTTTGTCCATTATAAGCAAAATTCCGTTATATGCGAGTCCGCTATATCCGATGCTTTTTCTGCATGTTCGAAAAGGCGCACGGCCAGGACCAGCGGACCTCGTCTGTTATAGACAATATTCCGTTATAAGCGAATCCACTATAACGGGATTTTACTGTAATTATTTTGGAATTAATTGGAATGCTAAGACATGATTTTATAGGCTTTATTATATTGATTATGTAGCAATCTCAGCTTTGTTCTCCATATTATGGAAGTATCACGCAGAGTATTACTTCCGAAAAGATGGTTTTTATTCTCTGCTTTCTCGTCTTGCTTTTACTCACAGCACTGATTACAGGGTTCCATCACCTAAAGGATTATTAGGAACACCATACTAATACGGTGTTTGACCCCCTTTCGCCTTCAGAACT